ACTCGGACGGACTCGGGGGAGAGCGGGCACGTGGAGGCTCTGTGGACTGCAGGGTCGGGGCGAGCTGCGAGGGGCGCTGGGAAAAGGGGGCGTGGGGAGCCGAGAAGACCAGAGGCAGAACCGAGGACCCCGGCGATGGAAGAGGCCCAGCACCCACGCCTCTTACCCTGCTGGGTCCTTTGGGAGGTAGGCGTGTTGGTTGTTAAGTGCTCAGCGTTTGGAGAGCAAAGGGGACCGGTCCTGAGGTCCCTGCTCTGCAGGGCTGAGAAGCCTGTTGTGCCCCTGATGGGGACTGGAGGCTCCCGAGCCCCAACACAAAAGTTTCTCGGTAACACCCTGTCTGCGCACAGACGTGTGAAGGGTTCTGGTGAGCTCATGTGAAGTAGTCCGACTGCCCTGCCTCGGCTTTGCGTGTATGTGAGGCTGGTATCTGTTCACATGAGTCCATCTGGCCTAGTAGGTGTACTTGAGCGTATTTCCACGTGAGAAAAGTGCTGTCTGCCTGAAAGTGTGAGCGTCTGAGGACTGTGTGTTTCTGAGTGTGTCTTTTTCTGCGAGGATGTTGGTTTGGGGCATGACTGGGCTTCCTCCCTGCGTCACTGTGGGCCAGAGACAGTGTCTCCGATTGTTGGAGCTTGTGGCCCCCAGGCACCACTCGCTGGGCAGAGCTGGAAGGAAGCTGTCTTTCTGAGGGAGAGGGGGTTCTGTTCTTGTCTGGAACAGCAGAGAACAAATTGGTAGAAGGCTAAAGGAAGTTAAGATCTTTGTCACTTGTTGATGGGGTGGGTTATTGATCATTAGGGTTGGGGGAGATTATGAGGAGGAGACCATTTGAATCTGGAGATTTGTATAGACAAGACTTTTAAAGTTGGCCCCCAGGACAAAGAGGAATCCATGTATGCCAGCCACAGCTACTTTCTAGTGGTCCAATTCTCCTTGGAGCGGCCCGTGCAGTCAAATGGATGAACCTTTAATTCTTTACAGCTTTCTAGACCATCCGACACTTTCCTGTGGCAGCAAGGCGAATGACTGGCACATTTCCTGAATGCTGCAGTGCCAGCATAGGAGGGAAGGGCTGCCTTTGACTCGCTAGTTGAGCAGTAGGAGACCCCCCTGGGTGTCTCCATTGCCTCATCTCTTTCTGTTTTGCTTTCAGTTTTCTCTCCATTTGGAGTTTTACTATCAGAAACATTTTCAAGGAGTGAACTGGGCAGGGGAAGTGACATAGTGTGTGGGATGGGGGTTAAGGTACACAGGCAGACCTGCCCTCAAGGGTTCTGCATTCCCACAACATGATGATATGGGCATATATTTTAGGGTTTCTTGGAAGGAAGGAACAAGACTGCTCTCATTGGGATGGGAACTCTGCTCACTGCTCCTCCCTGCACCCTGAGGATGCCAATGTTCTGGTGGGACCCTCCTCACTCTTACCTGCTTAGGCCAGGTGTGTGGCTGGGGGCTTCAAGGGTGTCTATTCTAAAGGCAGCATTGATAGTGTGGAAAGGCTACAGGTTTCATGGTCAGACATACCTGTGTACAATGCTGGCCATTACCTCACTATGTTTGAGACTCTCAGGTTGTTTTCTGATGAGTAATATGGGAGGGGGTTAGTTGATATATACCCAAAAAGTTTGTTGTGAAATTTCAATGTTTGCAAAGTACCTAGCACAGTGCGTGACATTTCCTGGGGACTCAGTAGCCAATGCTCCCCAACTTATTTCAGCATGGAACCTCATTTTTCCTGGGGACTTCTCTGAACATCCTTTGCTAGACCCTGCCCTGTTTATTTAGCAGACCTGAATTGGGTGTTTACTATAGACCAGGATAGCTTGTGGGCCAGGTGCAGGTGGGGACAGGCTTTGTCACGGGGGACCACAGGTCCTCCAAGTCCTGTGTTCTAATTCCAGTTTTGCCTTGACCGCAGGGTAAACCTGTTGAACATTATTGGGCACTCTAATTTCAGCATCTAGCTCTCTCATATTAAAGACAGAGAAACTGGCCTGGCAGTACTTGAATGTCGACCTGTGAACCAGGAGGTCACTGTAAAATTCTGGTCAGAGCATGTGCCCGGGTTGTGGGCTTGGTCCCTGGTCGGGGGTGTGCAAGAGGCAGCTAATCAATGATTCTCTCATCATTGATGTTTCTTTTTCTTCCTTTTCCTTACTCTCTGAAATCAATAAAAATATATATTTTAAAAATAACAACAGGGAAACTGAGGCTCCTTGAGGGACAGTAACTTGCTTAAGCTTGCACAACCAGTAAGTTGCAGACCTGGGACTTGAACCACTGTTTTCACTTTGCATTCTGTCTCTTGCTCTGTGGATCCCAATGTTCAGACCCCCTGTTCACCTTTATCTAACAGAGGTGGAGGCTGTAACAGTTTGACTTGAGTGATGTCTGTCATCTTGTGGCTCAGATAAGGTTGTTAGGAGGCAGAAATACTTGTCTCCGAACCAGCAAAAAGCACAGAACTGTGGAATCTGAGAATGCCACCTCTGGAAGGGATCCTTAAGAGGTCTTTAAAACGCACCCTCTATTCTCCTTGCTGGTCTGTACATGACTCGGCCAGGTGGAGAAGGTCTCTATCTTTCTAAGGTCTCCTGGGATGCAGATTATCACAGTCTCCTGTGGTTTCCATTCTGGAGTCTTGTGCTAGTGACTGTCACAGAGCAATACCTTTTGCCTAATCTGTGGCTTCTTTCCTTCTCCGGTCGAGGTGGAGGACATGGGCCATCACTTTGCTCCGCTGACTTTCCTGTTGTTCTGGTCAGTCCCGGGAAATTCAGGGCTTGTAGGGATGGCTCTACCTAGCCTGTCTTCCTTTGCCCTCCATGACCCTTTGTTGGCAGGGGTTGGGAGGAGAGCTCCCTTTAAAGCTCTGAAATTGGAGCTGAACAGCTGCTCTCCGACCCCCCTCCCCCCGCTTGCTTTAATCGCTCTGGGGCCCAGGTGGAGGTGGGGGCAGGGCTTTGTCCCTGGCAGCACAGTCTCCAGTTCCTATGTTTTATTTTATTTTATTTATTTAAAAATATTTTTTGTTAATCCTCACCTGAGGATATTTTTTAAGGGAGGGAGGAAGGGAGAGAGGGAGGGAGGAAAAAAAGGGATAGAGACAGAGACATAAAGAGATGAAAGAAAGGAAGGGAGGAAGGAAGGAAGGAAGGAAGGAAGGAAGGAAGGAAGGAAGGAAGGAAAGAAAGGAAAGAAAGAAAAGAAAGAAAGAAATGTCAATGTGGGGGAGACACATCGATCATCGATAGGTTGCCATCCACACAAGCCCTGAATTGGGACCATGGATTGAACCTGTAACCCAGGTAAATGCCCTTGACCAGGAATTGAACTTTGTGACCCTGAATGGGCCCACGCTTCAACCACTGAGCAACACCAGCCAGGGCACCAACTTCTATGTTTTAATTCCAGCTTTGCCTTGACCCCTTCTGAAAGGACAGTTCTTCCCTTGCTTTTTGGGTTTTCCATTTAGATGTTGGGGAGATTCTAATCACCTGTGTGACATGGTCCTGGAGACTTCAGCTGGTAGCGACTGGATCTTTGGAAACTTTCCCACTAAAACTCCAGTCCCTAAGATCTGTGCCCACCTCTCCTGCCTTTAAAACTGGCAGGCTCACGGAAAGGCAAGAGGATGGGCCTGGCTCCCTGTGGTGTGGGCCAGCTCCTTGGCGGTGCTGAGGGTAGGCGGGCCCCCATGGGTGGGAACGCAGCTTCCTTTGACCCAAACTTCATGGGAACAATAGACTTCAGAGGAGTCACCAGGGGCAGGAAATGGGAGCTGTGCTAAGGCTGGGTGACCCTCCTGGGGGATGGGATTGCATATCCGGCCGAAAGGA